AGCCTATGTCTTATACATATTGATAAATCCCACAGAACTTAACTGAGCAACTTTTTCATAGAAGATGCTTAATAGCCATATTTTTGAATAATGGATGAATTCCAGTGATTTAAGTGTTACATTCCAACTACTCCTGTAGTTCCCAAACCTAACTGCGTAACAGACTCAAACGGGAGAATTTGTTACTATATCAACATTTCTGAGGATGGGTTTCCGAAATGTCTATTTTTAACAATTTCCCCAAGTGACTCTGAAGCAGCCAGCTTGATCCCAGCTTGCAGACTGGCATTTGAAAACCCACGGAGCATTCTATCTTTCTTCACCCCAGAATCCTATAATATCGCCTCTTCCCCCCACCATCCATGCTGCCCTAACCATTTTCTCTTAACAAACAAACACCAGCAATCAAGTTGGTCCATCCTGAGAGTCTCACCATGAGACAGAGATATGCCCTGAAGTCTAGAAAATGGTAAGCTCTACTAGACATCAAAACTTTCCTCTACCAATCAGCTCCTACCTACAAATGGGTGACCATTTCTACAACCCCCTCCCCCCCAAAGAAAACACCAGAGCCACATTTCCTGCGTGTGTTTTACCATGTTGCCTATTTCACCCAGCAATAGACCCTTGGAAGTGTCCACAGTGAGTTTTGCCTTTAAATTCTTTTCACATCATCTTGGTATTTGGGGATGCCGTGTTCTCAGATGACCTGAATCCACTGTTTTCTCATGCTGACCCTACCTGCAGCATACTCTTTGGGTTAGCTTTTCGCAAAGAGGCTATTAAAGTAGAACAGGCAGATTCAAGAAAACCGCCATCTGGTTTCCACACGGCAGATGCCCACACGAGCCTTGAAAAACCTAGCTCGGGGGGAGGTGGAAGATCCTGTGGGCTGGCTGATAAAGGAAGAAATGAGAAGGTTACTTTTTTTCCTTAATGTTCCTACAATTGATCCTAATCACCATAATGTGAGAGAGAGAGGAAACTGTAGTCACCATTAGGTAGAGAGTCTGGAGCATCTAAGGCTTAAGAAACAACCTGAATTTTGTGTTCTGTATTCTAGAGGCACATTATATGGCCACCTTGGTAGCTCTTCAGTGCTGCCAAGAATGGAACTCTTATCTAATCAATTCCACTTTTTCTCTTGCTTGTACTTTCTGGCCAAATCCCTCTTGTGACAAAAGGAATAAGAAGATGTTCCACCTATATGTATATATGTGTATACCTTTTCATTACCTGTGTATCTATAACTTAGGTAATGAAAATCATTTTCTCCATCTCTCCATTTGCTAAAGACAAGGTAGAAGTCTGGCTCTGAAAAATTGATTTTGATTTGAAAAATTCAGAATTTTAGAGCTGAAGGAAACCCAACCAAACCTTTTGTAGGAGATAAAGTTGAAACCCAGAGGGAAAAAGTAAGCTGCCCAAGTGCACACAGTCAGTTAGAACCAGCTTCATAGTGATGTCACTGATGGGGCCCCCCCATCTCTCTTAAAGGAAGGATATGTTGCGTCTGCTGCTGGGAGGGCAGTTGGCAGTCAGCCTCTGTAGGGTGAACCTCGGCTGCAAAGAGCCTCCTCTCCCGGGGACAGACCCTTCCTGGGGCGGCTTATATCCAGTGACTGACTGAGGTGGAAGTAGAAAAGCCCAGCCTTTTGACCTAACAATGGGACACCTTGAAGGGCCATTTTAGCTCCAGAGCTCCCTGGAGGGTTGGCTGAGGCTGTCAGGCGGCCAGTGGGGCTAGTTTCTCCCAACGCTTTCTTTCCCCCTTTTCACAAATGTTGATCCTAAAACCACTACTGAGTGAGCATCCAGCACACTAACCTTCATTTCAGAGAGTGCTTCCAAGAGAACACAACCTTGAATAAGACCTAAAATAAAAATTGTGTTTAAAATAAAAGCTGGTTCCTGCTAAAATGTCCATTTTAGAAGTACGTGTGTGAGCATGCGTGTGTGTGTGTCCCTGCGTGTAAACATGCGTATATGCACATATGGATACATGTCTGTATGCATCCAATGTCTCCTCGTTTTCTAAAAGCGTATCCATTTTGGGGGTGGAAAAACACCTAATTTTTTTCATCACGCGCTGTCAGGCTTTCTCCTCTCTAGAGAGATGGTAATCATCTGGTCTAAATGAATAATGGGTCTGGCATTGGCGTGGCTTGGCTTAGCGTGTGCAAGATTGTCTCATACTGACCTCACATCCTAGCAGCCAATGAGGGACTGGTTGAGAAAGCAAAGATCACAGGAATAGAACCACTAGGACCCCTGCCGTTTTCCACCTCACCTACTGACAGTGGCCCCAGAAAACCAACCTATAGTCACCCTAGTTAAAGCCAGAGCGATCTATCACACATCAGAAAAAAATGCTGTATCTCTTCATATTTTCCCCATCCCCACCCCCTTCATGGTTTCGAAATTGCACTTCTAGATGCTGTTGGACACTCCGTTGGCTGAGGCCGTGGTCTCCCCTTTGTGCCATCTCAGCTCCAGACTCTCTCCTGGCTTCTTAGCTGCCCCCGCCTCACCCCTTACCTGTCTTGCCTTCAACAAGCCTGACTGTGAGTCAAGGACCATCACACCCCCCATCCTCCACCCACCCTGGACAATACGTCTTCCTTTTTCTTGTGCCTTTCCCATCTCACTGGGTCTCATATGCTAGCTGAGTGACCTTGGATAACTCTCAGTGTCCTCATGTAGAAATGAGGTCATGGTTCCTACCTCACAGGATGTGGTGAGGACCGAATGGGATTGTGTTGTGAGGGCTTTAGCCATAGTGCACTTCCTAACAGGAAGTCAGTCTCCTCATCCAGTCCCTCAATGCTGGTTCACTTCTCCTTCAACCACTGTCCTATCCCTGTCCATACACCTCCTCTCAGCAAAGGAGGGGTTCATTCATAACGCCTGCCAGGCTCCGGACACGCAGGCTCAGCGGCCATGGCTCACGGGCCCAGCCGCTCTGCAGCATGTGGGATCTTCCCGGACCGGGGCACGAACCTGTGTCCCCTGCATCGGCAGGCTGACTCTCAACCACTGCGCCACCAGGGAAGCCCCTGCTCCATTTTTGAGACATGATGAGGTTATATGACTTCAATCAGGCCCCAACTTACACCCCAGAATTAATCTGCTGTTCCTCAGGGTATCTTTATCAATTATTATGCATATGTAAAATAGCCATGCATTCAAAAATATTCTCACAAACTTGACATTTGAAAGGGAATTCTAAATGGATACCACATTTCAACCACTTTGCAAATAACTTAGTTCTTTTTTCAGGTCTTTCTGGCTCCTTCTACTTATATCCCATGAACATCACATTGTAAAGTCTTGACACACTGACATTTTAAAGTGCTTTCATTTTAAACCGTTCCTCTTCGAAGATTTCTCGCCACCATCTCCTGTCTACTTCGTCTTAAGAATGAAAATATCAGAGGGATAAGGGAACAAATATTATAACTAAAAACAGAGTTAGGTGCATGTTTGACAAACAGATTGCATTGTTGGGTTATAGAAAGGACAGACTGCTGCTCTTATAAAACTTTAGAAGCCCCTAAATTTGTTTTCAGTGGGGAATAATCAGGATGGAAAAGAAGAGAAAAAAAATAGAGGAAGTTATTATATTCAAGAATATTGTATATGTTTTTGGAGAAAACCATTATAAAGCCGAAAGTTGATAGATACGGTAAAACAAAACAAAACAGATTATCAAGGGTTTCTCTATGCCCTTGGTAATGCCATCTACCTTATAAAACATATTTAATGCTGTGACATTTTTTAATTTTTAAATTATTATTATTATTATATTTTATGTGAATTTATCAGTATCATGATTTGGGGCCTAATCCTACCCTTCACATTTCTAACAGAAACTCCATAGAATAAAGAAACGTAAAAGTTTCCACAAAATTCACACAATGACAATATAAGGCATCCTTTCCCTACAATATGGGTCTTCAGTACTTCTGCTAACAATAAACTAACACTTACGGAATGCTACTTTGTGCCAGACAGTGTTCTAAGTACTTACCATATTAACTCACTTATCTTTCTCAATCCTGTTGTGAGCCCTGTACTTCACTTTATGGTTGTGTAACACTTTGCACTTCACAGTTGAAGAAACCAAGGTAGAGATGACTCTGGTCTGAGACGCAGCTGTCTCTGCTTCCGGTTTGAACTCTGCCACTACTCGTAACAAGACCTTGAGTCTCCCGGTTTCAGACTGTCAGTTTCTCCTCTGTAAAATGGGGTCACCCCATGGCATCATCTCAAAGGATTCTGCTTCTTCTAAAATACCCTGGTTTCGTGCTTCTATGTTTTGTTCCTAGAAAGCTGGATTTGGAACTCCTAAAACATCTTTTTTTAAACAGAAAACAAGACTATTTTAATGAAAGTCTCAGCATTCGTCTGAAGGTGTAGAGCTGTGTTGCCTGCAGAGTTTGTCTTGGGAGTGACCAGTTTATACTTCAAGCAAAAAAAGAATAAGAAATTATGGTTGAGGGGGTCACCACATCAAAAGAAAAATATCTGTATACATGTAAGCTTAGAAGAGAGTAGGATGTGAAAAAGACTTCAAGGGTAGGTAAGTGAGGGATGTAAGAGGGGAACTGAACACCGCAACATATTTTTCCTTTTAGAAGACCATCTGTTGAAGCTGTGAGCATGAGAACAATGTGGGATTTGAAGGATCTGGAATAAATGAAGTGAAAGAAATGCTGAGAAATCTTTTGACGGAGCAATTTCCAGACAAGCAAGGGAAGTCATGTGACTTGCCCTTCTGGTCCCACAAAAGTATGCAGGTTCTTGGAGGGCAAACTGTGTCGAGTGTTCTCTGGCTGAAAGAATGTGATTCAAGGCCCACGATAACAGAGCCCGCAGCAGGGGGAAGGCGGAAGTGGGGAGTGCAGGCATTCAGGCACTCGGGAACTGTGATAGGAGAAAGAGTATGGATTCTATCAGAATAAAGAAGGAGCATTTAAATGGGGAAACTACAGAACATTAGAACTCTTGAGACCTTATACATCTTTTACCTCTCCTACTTCCTCTCAGGATACAGACACTGAGACCCAGGGAAGTGAACGGACTTTACAAAGATGGCCGCTCTCGAAATCGATGCATGGAGGATTAAAAAGAGCATGAATTTTAGAAACAAGATTGACAGAAAATATTCTCTTTTACTCTCTTAAAATATGGGAATAACACCAAGAAGGAAAAAAACAAAACAAACAAAAACAACCTTTCTCAACGAAGGCACTAAGTGGTAATCCTTGGGCCCTTCAGCAATCTGTTTTGAAGGTTATATTGTAGTATTAATCTATCATGTCTTCTAAAACTACTGATATGCTTTTTTTTAGGTAAGAAATTATGAATCAGCTGAATGAACAAACTTATCTACTGTTTCTATAATGTCTAATTTAGGGTAAGATTAATAACAGAAGACGCTCAAAATGCAACAATGAAAGCAAGAGAAAATATATTCTTTTAAAACTTACCAAACAATCCTCCTTACAGGAAAGCAGCTGTGATACAAGGGCTCGAGAAACAGAAGAAAAGGAATGGAAAATCTACCCATGGTTATTTTTAGCAGTTGTAATTTTAAAATTTTATGTGTTAAAAGTGAAAAAGAATTCCTCAGAATGGAAATTAAGATTCATCACCGAGAAGGAAAAATAATGGTGTGAGTTTTCACTGTCTTAAAGAGTGTTTTAATCTAGCTGCCAGACCTATGACCTACTATAGTTCTCCATGCCTCGCGTTTTTTAAAAAAATGGAAAACTATGCACATAATAAAGTGCTTTGGAAGTATTTTTTATGATTAGAAACTGAGGTTCTGAGCAGTAAGCCAGGCCTCAGGGTCTTTCTCCTGGAGCCAGTATTAAGCCCATTGCATAGATCTAAGGGATGGAGCTGTGGCATCCTTTGTTTCCTCTTCTATCTTAAATCAGATTGTCACTAACATTTGGTCCCTGCCTTTCTAAGAGGAACCAATTTCTATCCCTGTTTTCTGGCTCCTGATTCTTCCTGTGAAATTATGACCCCACATGCTGTAAGGAGACCAGGAATGAAGGGCATCAGAACAGAAAGGGCCTTCACTTTCTTTTCCTTTAATTAAAAAACTGAACAGCCCATGGACCTCTGACATGCAGAATCTTGTGGGCAGATTCATGCAGCAGGCAAGAGGGGGAAGGGGCAGTGACTGACACACCGCTCTTCTGAGAGGCTGCCCTCCGCTGCCCTGAGATTTCCCCAAATGAGGCCCAAAGCACCCCAGAGCTGAGTGCAACCAGCAAAACAGCCTGCTTTCAGAAAGGAAGTCTCTCCTGGTGGCTTTGAGGACCTAACTGGCACGAAGATCTTAGGTAAATGCTTGAGCTGGGATTGGAGGCATTTCAGCAAGTCTGATACTTCTTGGTAAATATCCTTTCTGAGAGTAGCCTGACACGCCAGCTTATACCGTCTGTGGCTGCCAGGTGGCTCGTGGGCCCTTTGGGGCAATAGCTATCCCTGTACCGTCAAGCTCTTTCCTATCTGAGAAGAGGTCACTCTTCTCAGATGGGACTGACGAGTAGTTCTGAGTTCAGTAACACTGAAGAGTAGTTTTGTGTCCCTCCTTTGCAGAGCTTACTCTGAACTTAAAAATTATTTGGGAACTGTTTTGGAGGGTTTCGAGCTAGCATTTTTAGTGATGATTTCTCCCTCAAATTAATTTCTTCGTCTCCTTTTTAACTTCGTTTGGCCACCACGATTTCTCCCCTGGATTACCGTGACTGGTCTTAATGAGGCTCGCTCCCTCGTGTCTGTCCTCTTCCCCACCATCTAAAGAATCTTCTCAAATCACAAATTACAAATCTGACCGTGAGCCTCCCATGCTCACAGCCCTTCACTGTCTCCCCTTATCCTCTGATGGACATCAAGGACCACTAGAATCTGGCTCTCCCTGTCTGTCCTCTCCCTTCATCACCTTCCTCCTCCCACCATGTAGGGTTCCATACACTTCCTGCTTGGGTCAGCCTTTCCCCATTCTGATTTGCTGGTGCCCAGTGCGAATTCATTTTTAGACATCAAGTCCAATGCCCCGCCGTGGGAACCCTTCTCTGGCTCCCTTTGCCTGGGTCAAGCATCCCTCTGCTAGCTCCTCCAACCTTTCACTTCTGCATACAGAGGACTTGACTGTGTACACGTCCATCAACCTCACCAGACTGTGATCTCCTAGAGGCCAGAAGCTGGGTCTCATTCTCGAGTCCCCAGAGCCTGGTCCAAGGCTTGACACTTGCAAGAGTATCTTGACATATGTCTGGGGAATGAATGAAGGGTTTCATCGACCCCGAGAACCAGGGGGAGGAGCTGCTGACCACTAGGAGGGAACATGGCTGCTTCTTCCATTTTCCTTTCCTCACCGAGGCCAAGAGGGTGCCAAGACTCCCCAGTCTCCCCTCGGCAGCCGGGGAGAGGGTGAGGAGAGGGGCCTTTGTTCCTCCTCCAGATGGCTGGAGCTGGGATAGAGCCCAGCAGCTGTGTTTGGGTGGAAGGCGAGAGGACAGATGGCCTGGTGTCTGTTTGCAGACAGCCTGAGAGACTGCAGCCCTGGTGCAAGGCATTCTCCGAGGTGGACTCCACAAGACAGTGGTGAAGTAGAGAAAACGCCAGGGCGGACCGCTGTGTTAGCATTCACTGCTCAAACACTGGCCGGAGTGACTGCTGGGCAGCAAAAAGAGAGTCCTTTATGCACAAGACCCTTGTGTTTCTGGCGGTGGCTTTTAACTTTTCAATCTAAACAAAGCCTTCCCTATATAAAAACTCTCTTAATTACTATTATTTAAAAATTGGTTTAACACAAGCTAGCCTCATTCAGTTTCAGTTTGGCCTTCTGCAATTTCGGCAGCCAGTGAATTATTCATTGGTGGCGGGGGGGAGTGAGCAGGGGTGGAGGACTTCTTCTGCTCAAAATATTTAGAATCAGCACATGATACAACGTCTAGTAATTTGTACCAGGGAAGCAGTCACGTGTTTACAGACTTAGATGGAAATGTGCTCACTGCTATCCTTATATCATCAGAAAATTATTTATTTAAAAAAAAAAATGGGTAAGATCCCCAGAGGACTAGGGTGAGAGCTGAGGGCAGTGCTATCACCACCTGGCTGACCGCTCCTCTCCGGATCCAAAGCCAGTCAGTCCAAAAAGCAAGGCACAGTGTCACACTTGTGTCCCAGGGATGTGTGTGTAGCTTCCCTAAGATGCCAGTTTCTAATGGGCATGCTTATGAGACAGCCCCTTCCAAGTCTATGATACTTTCTTTGATCATCCATTTTGATGATCTTTTTCTTAATTAATCATTCAAGCCACAACTTGAAATCACTTTTTAGTTTCTGCATATAGTAAAACAGAGCATTGGAAAGATGGAATGTCATGGCGCTTTACATAGTGTGGGTATAAACTATCCCTCCCCAAATAATTTTTTTAAATAAATTTATTTATTTATTTATTCACTTATTTTTGGTTAAAAATGTGGTGCGCAGGCTTCTCACTATGGCGGCATCTCTTGTTGCAGAGCACGGGCTTTAGGCGTGTGGGCTTCAGTAGTTGTGGCACACGGGCTCAGTAGTTGTGGTGCACAGGCTTAGTTGCTCCACGCATGTGGGGTCTTCCAGGACCAGGGCTTGAACCTATCTCCCCTGCATTGGCAGGTGGATTCTTAACCACTGCACCACCAGGGAAGCCCCTACCACCATATAATTTTTAACAGTAATAAGGAATCTAGTTCTACCCAGAATCAATTGGGGGTATCCCAGTGAGGAAAGTGGAATTGTCTTCTTTCTTCCCACCACCTTGCCCCTCACCCTTAAAAAATCCACATCCCCACTTAATAGATGAAAGGAATCCTTTAAAGTCTGAGCATTCTAATACCCATGATTCTTTAAGGCACCTGTAACAAAACAGAGTTGTGGCCAGAGGAGCTTCCGACTCCCTTTCTTGTTCCTGGCACTTTCCAGTTCTCTTACCAAGTGTTCTTGGCTACCAGATAGGCCTTAGCCTGAGTGGTCCAATATGGTAGCCACCAGCCACATGTGGCTATTAAGTTAGAAAACTAAAGTAAGTAAAATTAAATACAGTGAAAGAGTCCCTCAGTCACACTAATCATATTTCCAGTGCTCAATGGGTACATGCCGCTAGTGGCTACCTTATTGGACAGCACAGATATAGAGCATTTCCATCATCACAGAACGTTCTGTTCGATAGCACTGCTTAAGACTATTTAACTAGGCAATTCACTTCAGCATCAGTTCAGGCTTGTTTGATTTTATGACTGAATTGACCCATTGTTTGAATTTATTAATAGGTTCAGTTGTGCTAACTGTGCACTCCGGCAGCTGTTGAGGAGATGGCAAGAGTGATTCGTTCCATAAAATGGCAGTGGTAAGAGTAAAGGTATGAATGATAGTAATAGCCGACATTTACCGGCACTTATGATCCAGGCATTGTGCTAAGCACTTAATCTGTGTTATCTCATGATCTTCACAACTCTATTATTATCCCAGTTTAACAAGAGAGAAAATTAATAGCAGGGATGGGAAGAGTCTTTAACATTCGTCTAATCCGACCCTCTCTGTTGACAGAGCTCAGACTCTGGAGTCAGACTGCCTGGGTTTACTTGAGTGACCTTGAGCGAGTAACCCTCTTTGTGCCTCAGGTTCCTCATCTGTAAAATGGAGGAAATGACAGGATCTATCATAAACTGTAGTGAGAATGCTACTACATGAATAGTTCACATAAACTATTAAGAACCTAGTAAGTGTTAACTGCTTTGATTGTTTATTACAGGTAGGGAAAACCCAGGGAGGTTAAAGCCATGCCCAAAGTCACACAGCTAACACCAGCTTAGCACCCTTTCTGTTATACTTGCATATAAATCACCTTGGCCCTCCCTTCCACCTATCCACATGCTTTCAACTAGTCTGCCCCCTTTTATCATGACCACTCGGCAGCCAACTGCTAGTATCAGAGTGACATCAGCACTTTTCCATTGGCAAAGGGCGCAATGACTGTTCCATGGAAGCAGCCAATTTCCAGGGCTTTTTGGCTTGGTGTTAATTGGAGAGAATAACCTAGATGATCTCCAAGGTCCCTGTCACTCCCAAGAGGATCTGAACCAAGAAAGTAAAGGCAGTTCCCCCTGTTAGGTAAAAGAGAATAAATCTTTTGACACAGTTGTATGGATCCAAGTTAAGACTCCTGAAATTTTTCTATAGTAGGATAATAGTTGAAGAAGAAAAAAGAGGAAGGGAAAAAAAAAATAGTTCACAAGACTGGCCCAATCCATGTGGCCACCTATCTAGGGCATAAACCTTTCAGGACTTAGTTAACCGCTTGTATGTGTGTTAGTGTGGTTCCTGGTCCCAGGCCCGGCCTGAGATACTTTCTTTGGTTTACTCCTGTGCTGATCCAAGATGCTCACGTTAGAGGACATCAGCTCACTGAGGGTTTGTGTGTTTGGGTCTGTCTGCCCTTACCTGGAAATTTGAGGACAGGAGAAGAAAATTCTCTTATGCATCATCATTAGTGCATACA